AATTGAGGCCATGGAAGATGGCAGATCCAACCATGGAAAATAGCTATTTGGTCGTCAATTGCTCAATCGAAATTTATCGGAGATGCTCACCTTCTCTTCTCTCTCTGGCGCTGCACATGGAGAACCTATTCCAACAAAGCGCAGAGCCATGGGAAACGGGAGGGGTGCAAGTTCTCTCCTCTCTTTTTATCCCAAAACGATGCCGTATTTGACCGGGCATACCATGCGCATGGTATGCCGGTCGTACGATATAATTTGCCACGTAGTACTACCTCCGTCCCTTAAAACATTGCCAAAGTTGACCGGTACGGAGAATAATAAAGTAAAAACTGTGTGATTGATGTTTGTGCAGAGGAGAGAGAAATAACAGAAACCACAAAATAATTGATTAAAAGGGAAAATGACAAAGTTTTTTGGGACGGATGGAGTATTAGTTAATCAATTCTATTGTAAATTAAAATATTTGCAATATAGAGCATATGACTCATTCTGTTAAATATTTATGAAATTGTACAAGTCATCATTTACCAATGTAACAATCTATCTTCTGTAACAAACTAAAGATTTTGGTTTCCAATCCGATGACGCAGTTTGGTTTAGATCCATCAAAATATTTTTTTTTGTTTTTCATCCATGCGATATGTACTATTTTGTTATTAGTCTATCTCTAACTCTTAAATCAATCTACTTAGGCAAAAATTTACTGTCAATTGCATAAATCTACTAGAAAATTCAAATTTATCATTTTGTACTTTTTTAGGGCAATAAAAGAATTAAAACAATGTAAAACTAAGTGTTCACACTTTTAAAATTTGTATTAAAACCGTTCTTAAAAAATAAAATTCTTTTTGAATAATATGACAAAGATGATAAAATAAAATAGAATTTAGGAAGGGGTTTTTTCAAAAATATTACTAAAATAAAAATTATTTACACAAATATGACTAATAGTTACTATAATGTAATGTCATGGTAATGTAAGTTTAAAATTGAACATAACTTACTATGGTTTCATTACTCTTCTAGTCACTAGTCATGTTTATCTAAACCATCTTTATTATAGTCTTTAATGTATAATTATTTCACTTAAGAAAACTATTAATCGAGTCGTTTCAATGTTAAACGACTCGATTTCATCGGTGATGGGCTAAACTAAGCCTATGATTTATGTTTCTAATCTTATCTTGAATTGGGCTTGTTTTATTTTATAACATGGCTCAAGCTTTCCCGATCATTTCATTAAATTATGACAGATCCGGAAATTTCTCTGTGAAATCAGGCAGCGGTTAGGCAATTCGGTCTATCACCACACTCTAGGTCTTTACTGAGTCATCATGCATTATCTTCTTTCTCCTCGAACGTTTCGTCTTTTTTATGACGATTTCATCTGAAGGTTTCATTCAGTACCCGACGATTTCGGGATCCTACATAAAAACTAGGTTGCAACTTAGCTAATTGATCCCATCTCCCTCCCCTTACATTTACTCGGTCAAAAGGGTGCAAAAACGTACAAAAAGATAATTTGCTACATAATTAACTCTCACAATTGACGATAAAAAAAACTCACAATTATAACATTAAATGCAATATTAATTATTCAAATAATTGCTCCAACACCCCTCTTTTGAAAATTTGAAGCATATGGTGGCTTATGTGAAGTCATTAAACAACTTTTGGAAATTTTGTAAGGACTTGTACCACACATCCTTGATTATTGCGCTTGTCAACTCATCATCATTCTGACGGAACGTGCCTGTTCATCTGTCACCCATTTGAGGAGACGCTTCCGTCACCTTCCTCGCAAGTAGCTTCTAAGCGATCTTGTCTCTTTGACTAAAGCAATAAAGAGCAAATCTCAAGATCTTGTCTTCCTTCAAAGTTGTGATAATGATTGGGCGTTGGCGATTTGGAATTTCGTCCATGGATGTTGACACTAGTTTTCAAGGGTGACTTTGTCCTTCGTTCAACAAAAGACAAGTTCGACTCCAAGAGTTTGACGGATATCCAAAAAAAACTTTAAACATTATTTGGTTTGTATTTCAGTAATATTGTCAATCTAAACAAGAATGCTTAAGGTTCATGTCAATGTCGTTCGTGTCACCTCCTTCTGTGTTGGAGTTTCTCGTTGTTTTCTGTTATGTTTTTGAAGCATATCTTTCTGTGGTGCGTTTTTCTGTATAATTTTGGGCAAAATGTTGTAGAGAATCAATGGTGTTTGCACTCATGTTTAGAAGACATGAAAACCCCAAATTTTCCCTTACAATTATGTAAGCCCACGTCATGTGTGTTTAAAAGTATTTGTAAGCCTTTGCTCAACGTGTGTCGACGCATCACCATTGTCCATTGTTGACTGTTCATGTGCAAAAAAAATCTTAGGCTAGCCATTGGCTATAAGCCAAAAGCCCTCTAATGCTTAAGTTATTAATCATTTATATGTAAAGGAAAGGAAAAAAAATGTAAACGAAAGCAATAAATTAAAAATGAAACAACTTTATTTAAGGGTAACGTATTGCAACTTCTCAAAACCTATCGATCGTCTTGAGTTTCCAAGCAACATGTCACCTATCTAATGATTTCAATGATTTTGTGTAGTCTATCTCGTCACAGAAGTGACAACTCGTTCTTCGTGTCTCGAATAGGGTGTCTCAGAGTTGTAGTCTTGCCTCCTAGCAGAGTTTGACTTCTCATGCCCCCTTTAATACTCGAACTACTTGGGTTGGGATCGTAAGTATTCCTCTCTAGATGGAAGAAAGCTTATGTCTTTGCTTGGACATCTTCGAAGGACCGCCATGAGAATTTTGTTAGTTCACGGTAGAGCTCCGAGTTTTCAAACACTCCTCTTCTGAATGCTTCTGAAAGTGGCAAGGACGTTACATCTCGAGATCAACATATTCCTTTTGTTGAATATGTACAGATAGTCTCTAAGGAGTTCACCTCGTCACTGCATAATTCCGTAGATGTTGCTGGTTTGCCTCTCCAACACCTTACTACTTGTGAACAGCTGATTAGAAGGATTGACAAGTTCGGCAAATAAATTAATGTCCCGACTCGGAAGATTCATGAACCATGTCAAAACAGGACCCGTCAATGTCGCGCTGAATCCCCATCACATACATGCCTCTGTTTGTTCATGTCTGACGAAGACGACTATCATCCTTTGCTTGTACTTTGCGACAAGTACCCCAAGATCTAAGGTTCTGTCAAATGGTTCCATGCTTGGTAAGTCAAAATTGTTCGGCATCTCTACATTGGCGATTGAAGCGTCGAAAGGCAATCTGTCATAACATGTTTGAGATGCAACATTAAATGGAGGAGGGACATAAGGAATTATGTTGATTTTCTCATACATTTGTCGTAGTTGTGCGGATATGACTGCCATGGGATCCTCGGTACTATTCATCAGACGTATGACAAGTTTCGTCATAAGGTCGTCTGTATTCTGTATAGGTCTGTATGGGTACATTCTAGTCTAGTCAGAGAAGGGATCACGACGACTTCATGATTCTATCGATTATGAGTGGGAATGCGAAGAATGAAAGGTTCTAACAAGACGAAATGACATTCTTTCAAAAAAAACAAGACGAAATGACATTGGACATAGAAAGGTTTTGAGTGACGAGTTGTGTTTTAAAAGATCTATTGCTGACACTAAGAGAAGCCGAAAAGTAACACTTTGGAATAATATAAGCAAATGTGGATATTGGGTGCGAAGGGATATAAGGTATAACTTGAGATACCATCGGAGACTTGGGTTTGTTGAATGAGGATAGCCCAAAGCTTAGTGAGATGGCGTCAGTGGTGGTCGAAATTGGATCCGTCGTGACACTGACGGACGAAATTCAGGTCCAACCTTGTCACAACAGCTGTTGCGTCGCCTCTCATTGAATTCCTAGAGTTGGAAGCTATGGAGGCAATGGGCTGGACTTGTGATTTTAGGATATTGTTTTCTTCTTGAATGCAATCAATTTTCAACACCATTTCCCGCTTCATCTCCATTACCGTCTTTATTTGCTTTTGGATCTCCGCCATTATAGATGAACTATAATCTTCCATGGATGATGATTTTCCTTGCACATTTCCTACACACAGTGTCAAATTGTTTAAGCTTTTTTATGTAAAATATGAATTGACTAAACGGATTAAAAGAATAAACTAGGGTTACATAGAATAATTGAAGAAATATTAAAAAGTAAGAATATATTGATGGCAATTGCATTTGTATGTGTGTATTTCAAAATGATTTGTGTTCTCTCCTTCACATCAAAATCTTATGTTATTTAACGTAGAAAAATAGAGTTCCTTTTGTCCTACTCGCCGCTTTCCCGACAAATTCAACACCGCTGCACAAAAATAGGATCCAACTGGGCTACTAATTTCTATCTTCGTAAATCAAGCCTAGGATTTTTGTTTTTATGATCATATCTTGAATGGGACTTGTTTCTATGACATGGCTCAAGCTATCTCGATCATTTCGTCAGAGTTCTGGAAATATCTCCGTGAAATTAGGCAGCGGTTAGACATTTCAGTCTATCCTCACCCTCTTGGCTTTTGCTGAGTCATCAGCCTACGGTTGTACATTATCTTCTTCCTTCCTGGACGTTTCGTTTGTTTTATGACAGACTGACAGTTTCATCCTACGGTTTCGTCCGTTACCCGACAATTTCGGGATCCTACCTAAAAATCAGGCTATAACTTAGCTAACTGATCGTATCCCCCCCCACACACTACATTTACTCGGGTGCAAAAGGATAATTTGTGACATAATTAACTCTCATAATTATAACTTTAAATGTAATATTAATTATTCAAATAATTGCTCCAACCCTACATATATGAGGGGGGAAAAGCCAACCATAATCAGCAAATTTAGCATGTCAGTTACTTGGTTGTAATGGCCGCTAGAGCCTGGTGACAGTTGGATCCATCCAACACACAATCATGTGTTAAGAGAGAAATGTGATGATTGATGAAACGATTTCCAGGCCTGTATGGGACGCATATAAGACCACATTGACACGCCTGGTTACACTATAACAAGACCAACATATCCAGCGCATAGGACTAAAATGCATGAAACAACGTATGCTCCAGCCACAATAGCAGGTTCTCGCAAGCCACACATCATTTTGAGGTGGTGATGAAATGGCGCCATCCCAAACTGGGAGCATGGCCTTTGGCTTGACGTGGAGAAGTATACCTGTAACACAACGTATAGGGCAGCTTCCAAAATGAAGATCCCAGAAGCAATGAACAATGGCAAGAACTGTCCAGTCACAGCAGCCATAGATGCTAGGGCCCCACCTATGGCCAGAGCTCCTGTGCCACCCATGATTATTGATGCTCTGTATCGATTATGCATCAGAAACCCAACGCAAGCACCCCCAATTGATGCTCCAAACACAGCGAGATCTGATTGCAGCACAAGAGCTCATGTTCAGTAGTCGCTCACTCATAGATGGAAAGAAACATTATTCACAGTAACATGTTCACACATATGCTTTTCCCATTTTACAATTTACATGTTGAGCATGATAACATTCAACAATGAAATACTGAAATCATGTAGCTAAGGTGCCATTTGGTAATTTTTTTCTTTTTCCAAAGCAGAAACAATAAAATGTGTTTGACGACTTCACTGTTTTTGTTCGTTCTCTCTGAAAACATAAATCAGAATTTGGAAATTTTTTGGAACATAAATTTTATGTTCTCAGCATTTTCAAAAACATGTTTTGAATGTCCACACATGTTATAAAACATTACGAGTTGTCATAAAAATCATATATTTTTGTAATAATAAATAATATATGCATCTGTGTGTCGGTGTGAATGTGCATTTCAGGCATCACCAAATATGTTTATATTTTAGAAATTTGAAAAACAAAACAAAACAAATCTGAAAACATAAAATTATAGTCAAACATACGCTAAGATATTAACGACCACTTTTGGGCAGCATATTGTTTTTCATCGACTCATATACTAACCAGGACAGATTGGAAGGACTACAAATGACATTCCAATAAACGCTAATGCAGCAGTTCCACCAGCCAATCCATCAAGACCATCTGTGAGATCAACTCCATTTACCATGGAAGTAAAGCAAAATGAAGTTAAAAGAGGATAAAACTTTCCTATGCAGACAAGACCAAGGGGAGCAGGCAGAGGAATCACTGCTTTCCTGCACAACCACATAGAGTCAATAAGGAAAAGCAAGGATTCAAATGTACAATTCACACCATGATAAATACTCATGCCTTTAGTTTTATCCTACTTAAATTCTAATAGCTAGACACCTCTAACTAAATGAAGTATACTTTAGGTTTACCCTATTTTAATGAGGAAACGATCAATTGAGTACACCAACTTGAATGAGGTGGAGTAAAGAGTACACTATATTGTATTTCATCTTTTTAAGTACACAAATTCAGATTTTTAGTGTTAATTGAGTACACCCGTGACCCGTTAGATTAACACGTTAATACAACTAAATTGGCTAACGGAATGTTAAGTAAGAAGGGGAAATGGATCAAGGTTATGGCGTCAACCTTCACGAAGTCGACCAAAAAGGGAAAATCAACTTTCGGAAGTCAACCTGCGGGGGCGTCAGCTAGCAGGGGTGCATCGACCAAGGAGAAGTTGACCTGCCGGGGACTAACGTCGACCAAGGACTACCAAGGAGAACTCGATGACGTCATTGGGGCTGGCTCGACTTTCAAGAAGTCGACCTATTAGCGTTCTGTTAACCAACTCAGCCGTATTAACGTGTTACTCCAACGGGTGTACTCAATTAACACCAAAACCCCGAATTTGTGTACTTAAAAAGATCAAATGCAACATGGTGTACTCTTTACTCCATCTCATACAAATTGATGTACTCAATTGACTCTTACCTCCTATTTTAATTCTATTCGCTAGACACCTATAATGAAATGAAGTATGTCTATTAGCAACACTCATATGTATGACTTTAGTTTTATCTTACTTAAATTTATTTGCAATACACTTCTAATGAAATGTTTTAGTAGACGAGTAACGGCCAACATTATAACTTAGTCACATGTATTGGTGGAATAATGAGGTGAAACAAACCATAAGGAACAAAAGAGATTGCTACAAAAAGTTGGGGACAAGTTGGAGTGATGAGAACATAGAAGCATATAAGGAGTCTAAAAGACAAGCAAAGAAAGCCATAAAGAAAGCATTAGGAAAAGTGAACAAGGAGTTGTATGAAAAGTTGCACTCTAAAGAAGGAGAAAACGATATTTATAGACTTCCTCCTCTTCATTATCGTAGGACTCAAAATATTAGAAAAGTTAAGTGTGTGAAATGTTGATTAAAGAATACTAATGGAGGACGGAGAAATAAAAGAGAGGTGAAGGTCATACTTTGATACATTATTCAACGGGAATAAAACGCAAGATACTGGTGATTTGACCATACCAGATTGTATGGTAAATCGAGAAGGATCCAAACGACAGAAGTTAAAGAAGCTTTGAGGAAGATGGGGCAGAGGAAAGCGGTGGGTCCAGATGGCATACCTCTCAAGACCTGGAGAAGTTTGAGAGAGAGAGGCGTCGAGTGGTTAACAAGTTTTTTCAACAAGATTTGGAGAAACAACAAAATGTCAGCGAGTTGGCAGAAGGGTACCCTTATTCCTTAATTTAAGAATAAGGGTGACGTACAAGAATGTGCCAACTATCAAGGGATTAAACTCATGACGCACACCATGAAACTTTGGGAGCGAGTGATAGAGGAAAGACTTCGAAGAAATGTGAAGATGTTAGAGAATCGATTTGATTTTATGCCTGGTCGCTCAACAATTGAGGTCATTCACCTTCTTCAGCAACTTGTGGATAAGTATAGAGACACTAATAAGGATCTGCATTTGATGGTCATAGACTTAGAAAAGGCATGTGATAGGGTACCTCGAGAAGTTCTTTGGTGGGCCTTAACTAAAAAAGCATATGTATGAGGATTGTACTACAAGTGTTCGTACTAGTGTAGGGAGGACTACAGAGTTCCCTATTACTACAGGATTGGTCCTGAGCCCTTTCCTATTTGCCATAGTCATGGATGAACGTACAAAGTCAATTCAAGACAATATACCGTGGTGCATGATGTTTGCTGACGACATTGCATTGATTGATGAGACGCAATCAGATGTTAAATCAAAGTTGGAAGTATGACGACAAACATTCGAGAATAAGGGTTTCAGACTGAGTCGGAGCAAGACAGATCACATGGAGTGCAAGTTTGGTGGAGGTATATGCAGTGGTAATGGCGGAATTACTCTTGATGGTAAGGAGATCCCGGTCAGCGATTTGTTCCGTTACTTGGGCTCCATAATTCAGAAGGACGGTGAATTAGATAGAGATGTATCCCATATAATCAGGAAAGGGTGGATGAAATGGAAGAGTGCATCAGTATTTCTATGCGATCGAGGATTATACACTAATAAGCATATATCCATCTCTTTTTCATATTATCTTTTTTATTATAGCTTATCTTCTTATCTTTCTTTTCCTTTTGGTTATGATATCATGTATCGATTCATGTTAGCCGACCCCAAAATCCTTTGGGACTAAGGCTTGGATGTTGTTGTATTATTTGTAAATTCCATAGTATTTCACTTAAGTTTAAACTTTTCAGATTTAACCAAAAAACGTACTCCCTCGGTCTCGTATTTAAGTTCCCAATTTCTTTGTTTGGATGTCTCTAATTAAATTCCACACTTCCATTATTAGTAATATTCCTATGTTAAAGACATTAATATCCACCAATTCACATTTACATCCGAACCTAATTTAACCAACCTACCTCACATTTCCATTATTGGTATGCTCTTCCATCTTCTCTCATCTTTGTCCATCTATTGTGAATGGATCTTTCATCGCTGCTAAGAGGGTTAGAGTCGTTAGACGGTTAGTGATGCATTAGGAAAGCCGCTAGTTTCAGCGGCCAGAGTTCAACCTCTGTCGTGTGTACATCAGCTTCGATTTTAACATCCGTCCAGATGTTCAGCCGTGGTTATTGCCTTGTCCTACCGATCATCCGCCACCTTAAGTCCCACCCTTTTTTCAAGATTTCCAAAATCCTAACACATGTAGGCCAGAATTTAAGGAATTCCACCTCACGATTGATAGGTAACTAGCTAATTACAGAGTAATTCAAGGAGAATAGAAACGAAATGTGTTTAACAGTTTCAAGAAGGAAGTCGATTAACAGAAATGAGAGAGAAAATGTCATAGAAAATGTCTATGATTGTTAAACAGTGCCATCTCTCCAGTCCCAGTCTAACTACCAAATACCAGTCTCCCTCTTTTACACATCAGCTGCCTATTATAGTATCCCATCCGACCCCTTATACACTATGACAGCAATTTAGTATTCCCCTTCCTTCTCCTAGAATCCACTTTACTATAGTAGCTACTATTATTACGATTATTAGTTGACTGCCTCCCAGTGTATTTATCATTACGCCCCCTGGAACTACCACCTTGTCTTCAGGGTGGAAGTCAGGAAATTGCCCCTGAAATTATTGTAGCTCTTCCCAAGAGTCTTCAAAATCTAGCAATATTTTTCCCGTGCACCAAAATTTCAGTTTTCCCAGCTGCGTTGACTCTGGTTTCCATTCATTACCTTGTCTGGGCTCACTTGCAATTCCCATTCTTCTGAAATGCACTTGGGTAGAGGTTGCACTGGAGTAGAGGGAGATATTGTTTTCTTCAAGAGGGATAAATGGAACATTCCTACATAGAAAGTACTTTAAAGGGTCCCACATGAGAAGTTTATGTTTTATTTGCTTTGGGCCAACGGAGAACCTAGGCTCTTGTAGGTCTATTTCTGAGATCACCTCGTTTATTCACAATTTTATGATAGTAATCTAGGTTTTCAAATAACCTTTATTTACCTCATAGAACCTACAAAGACCTTCAATAACCCGAATTGGAGAACCTTAAATCAAGTTTTTAGGAGGTCAAGTTCTATTTATAAGTAATTTAACATGTTCCCCTAGCTTTACCTCAACCAAAACAAACTTTTACTGGATTTACCTAGGTTAAGCTAATAATTACACAAGCAGAAAGCAACTAGGTTCCCGTTTTTCTACAAAATCTAGGTTTACCAAGGACATACTACCTCTGTCCTCTTATGTTTGGGACAAGAGAAGGTGGCACAGTTATTAATAAAAGTGGGTTTATGTGGTTGATATTGAATTGATAAAGTAAGAATAAAGTAGGAATGATTTAGAACCACACAAACTTTACCAAATAAGGTATGAGACAATCTTAGTGGGACGGAACGAAATGGTAAAATGGGACAATCATAGCGGGACGGAGGGAGTATTTACTTTGCTGCTAAAGTCACGCAAGCTGCTAACCGAAAGAGGTACTTAAAGTGCCGCTTACTAAGCATATCACCCCATGTATTAATTAAGTGGCACTTTGAGCTTTTTCAGTTTCCAAATTTACCCTTACTCTTACCCCTTAGCCTTTACCCCTTATTGTTACCCGTACCCTCCCCTACCTTACCCTGGCCCCACCCTCTACCCCTACCTCTACCCACCCCCACCCCTAACCTACCCTTACCTTACCCCGGCCCCACCCCGACCCCAACTTCAACCTTCCCGCTAACCCTAACGTCTACGCACCCCCCGGGGCCCCCTACCCCTAACCTACCCTACCTTACTCAACCCCACCCCGACCCCGACCTCTAGCCATACCTCTACCCACCCCCCACCCCTACACCCCTAACCTACCCTACCTTACCCAGACTCCGACCACACCCCTACCCAACCCCAACCCCAACCCCCGTACCCAGCCTCCTCGGGGTAAGCGTGGGGGGTAGGGGTATGGGTACGCCCTCACGCATTACATTACATTACATTACATTACATTACATTACATTACATTACATTACATTACATTACATTGTATACTTGTGTACATGAATGTTTTTGTGTCTATATATGTATACGGTTATTTTGGACATTTAAATGTTAAACGGTGTTTTAAATCCTTTGAAGTAAACATGAGCTTACAACACTGCTTATTTTATGCACCTCTTATTAACACGAGTCTTCATAAGCACCGCTTAGTAACCTGTGAAGTAAACGTGTCCTAAGTTCACTCTATCCAAACGGACCATTAGAGTATTCTCACCTTCCATTCTATAAAAAGA